GCTTATGACATGGTATGGAGAACGCGAATCCTCCATATCCTTCAAAAATGTAAAATTGGGAATAACACAATAGCTTTTATCCTTAATCTACTTACAGACAGACACATTCAAGTTAGAGTACAAAACGCAATGTCCGACCTAACATATATACAAAATGGAGTCCCACCAGGCTTCGTCATTAGTGTCACTCTATTTCTTATAGCCATCGACGAAATTGTAACCTATCTAACCCCACCGATCAAGGGCTGCCTATTTGCAGATGATTTTACCTTCTTTTGCTACGGCAAAAATACAGCCACCACCCAAAAACTCCTCCAAACAACCCTTGATAACCTCAGTTCATGGGCCGCACACTCTGGCTTCCTCTTTTCCAAGTCAAAATCCAAGCAGATTACCTTCTGGAAAGGCAGAAAAAAGCTTCCTGATATAAATCTTACTCTTGACTCAAATACCATCTCCTCAGTAGACAACATGAAAATACTTGGCATCACATTTAACAAAAAACTCACCTGGGCACAACATGTAAAAAATCTTAAAAATAGTTGCCTCAAAAGAACCAATATGTTGAAAAGCCTGGCATGTAAGAGCTGGGGAGCCGATAGAGACGCCCAAATAACCACATATAAAGCATTAGTGAGATCGAAAAAAGACTATGGATCCACGATATACGGCTCAGCAAATAAAAGTATCCTAAACATATTAAACCCCATCCAATCCTCTTGCCTACGAATTATCTCGGGTGCCTTTAGAACCACTCCTACATCCAGCCTACAAAGCGAGCTAAACGAGCCCCCATTGCATATTAGACGCAAACTGCTGGATGTAACATACGCTCTCACAGTCTTATCCACCCCAAATAACCCCACCAGCAAATATGTTTTACCAAAGAACCGCTCAAACAACACCAATAAGAAGAAACACTGCCCCAAGCCCATATCATCAAGAATACAGAAGACTCTACACGAACTAAACATGACCCTCCCAAATGTCGAAAACCGCAACCCGTTCCCCTACCCCCCTTGGATTTCCATTAACACACCCACTCTATCACTCTTCGAAAAATACAAGAAAAAAGACACTAATAGCGAAACACTCAACACCATACTCCACGACTATATTAACCAAAACAACTCTATTCCCGTCTATACGGACGGAGCCAAAACAAATACCTCTTGTGGCTGTGCATTTGTTACAGAAAACAATGTTTTCACCAAAAGACTACCGAGCAGTTTCTCCCCGTTATCCTGTGAAACCCAAGCAATACTACATGCCTTAACCTACATCCTTGAATCAGATAAAGACAGATTTACCATATTCACTGACTCCGAAGCCGCGATCGAAAATATCAGCAAATGGTCACAATATTACACCATCCAATCTATACAAAAAATGATCGTAGAAATACAAAACAAGGAGAAGTATTTTAAACTAATATGGATCCCCAGCCATTCCGGCCTTGTTCGAAATGAAGCTGCCGATAAAGCCGCTAAGGAAGCTTGCAAAATACCGTACTGGGACGACAGATGTAAAATCAATCTACCAGATGTAAAAACTTTAGTTAAAAAATTAATCATGAATTTATGGAACACCAACTGGAACACCGGCACCCCAACGAAACTACACAAGATAAAATCGAATGTTCACGAAATACCAAAATACCCTCCGATGTCTAGAAAAGAACAAGTTGCAATCACCCGCATTCGCACAGGCCACTCAAGATATACACACGATTTTCTCATAAGAAAAGACAACCCACCCGAATGCAACCTATGCAACACACAAATAACCATCCAGCACATTATACTCGAATGCCCAAAGTTCTCCCCGGAAAGAAACCGATACTCCATTAAGAGTGACTTGAAGACAAACCTAAATGAAGCAAATAACATCGGAAACGTCCTTCTCTTCTTCAAAGACATCAATCTACTCGACGAGTTGTAGACGCAAGTTATATTCCATATTTTGTAATACAAGTGGTCGCTAATGACTTTACAGTTGATGCGACCACCCCAAATAAATGAAAGTAAAAAAAAAAGAAAAAAAAAAATGTACATTGTACTTTCCAACTCGAATCAACGGGCACGTTGGTGGTCCTCTTTATTTCCGACATTCTCAAGCCGATGCACGTGATGTCTGTTTCCTATCTCGAAGCAGTAGGTACCCTGGCAATAAATTAACCAGCTACGCGCCTTGGTGAGACTGTGCAACCGTACTTTCCTTGCACTTCTGCAAAGCACGTATTATCCTAGAACCGTTGGTTTCTTTTTACCTAAATCTTGTCGTGGTGGGAGTGAACTCACAATCTAACGATGGGAAACTACTTGGGGGTAGTCGGGGGTCAGTCGGTTAGCAATCGGGCGACAGAGATGTTCAGTTCACGGGAATATTACGCAATGTTATGGTGGTACGAGCAGAATAACGGATATGCGGATGTTTCTGTGCAAGTGTTTGGTTACGTAAAACATCTGAAAAATTGAAAACAATCGGTCCTTTCCGGGGCCACGAATTTTCCTAACGTAGGAACAACACGTTGGATTAAAAATACATTAAGTGATTGTGTCGGGTGATCAGTGTTAGCGGTCGTGCAGCAAAGTAAGTACGTATTCGGTGGAATAACCAGGACGCACTTGACGTTACAACCCTTAACTTCGGCTGGTGAGGTATACCTGCGATCACCTGCGAACTGGGCGATACCCTGCCATAAACCGTTTCGGCCGTCGATGACCAGGATCGGTCAGTGACCTAGTGAAACAGGTTTGCAAACTGCAGGTGAATTTCCGAACGGTTGAGTCCTAATCAATTTATTGCTGATTATTATTTTCTTAATTTAACGCAAGCTATGGCTTATTTCCGGCGATAATTCTGCAAGTTTCTGTACCTATCTTTTTCTTCGGGCTTTTTGAAGAAACTTATTCATTATCAGTAACATTGTTGACAGTTATTAAACTACGAATTTTTATACCAATACCAAATTACGATCACTTCTCGTTTATTCTCTGTTACATTACCTTTTCGTTCACACGTTATTTGAAAAGGAAATTTACAAAGTGGTAAAAAGGAATTTTTAAAAAAGTAAATGCGAATTCGTCTTTTTACGTTACACATAATTTGCCTGCATTTTCGTTTTACTCATTAATCTCTTTAAATAACAAACAGCAGATGATAAAAAGTATGATTTTATTTGTTACGTCTTTTTTATTTGCTATTATACGCAGTTTCCTGCGATGCATGCTGTCCTACTTGTTCGGAGCTTCGTAGTACGAGCGCAGCGCGTAGCCACCGCTATCGCGGGAACTCGGCTGGCAAACTCGCGCTCTGATTGGTCGCGGTTTTTCGTTAATATCTCTGTAACGAAGCCTCAGATTACATTGTTGCTAAGGAAAAAGTTGTTCCAATTCACCCCCCGAGTGCCCCATTTCCGGGTCGGAGGACATTTTTGGGACAACCTGTATATGTACATATTACATCCCATGTTCTATGTCATCGTTTTCTACATAAAATTGCATATATACGATTATTCGAGAAATAGCTGAGTCATACAAGGAACTGTTAACCTTTATCTGTAGAGCAACTTCAATTAGGACGCCATGACACATAAAGCAATACATCCATTCGTACTGTAAAATAGAAAGTTTAAATGTTATGTAGGGAAAGAAATTTGACACATTTCTATAATATTGAAATCCTTGTTTAACAGTGACTTTTATAAATTATTCAATTTATAACACTTTGGAACATATATGGGTCCAATAATTAAATAATACTAGGAAGACTAGTATGTTGGATGGATCTCCAACGGTGATCGATTCATTGATCAGGCAGTAAGTATGTATAACAGTAATTCAAAATGTTATTGCAATAAATACGAATTCTAGGTATAATGTAAATAAAAATTTTATACTTCTTCAGAGAAAAAATTGTTGGAGATAGTTAATCTCATTTGTTTACAGTTGGTTATCTACGGATCTTGAATTAGTGATTTCACTGAAGCGCCGAAGCTCCTCAGTCGTAATGCAATTTTATTATTTATCAATTTAACGAGTGTACGGTTTATTCGTCATATCAGTATCGCCTCTATGTGGAATCGAAGAACGATGGAGGTTTTATTGGTATTAGGATACGAATATTACAACTAATCTTCTGCAATAACGAACCTAATCGTCGGGTGGTATAGTAAATAATGAAATTTATTCTATGCAGCTCCTGGCCTACATGTAGTCCCATTGTCAAGTACATACTAAGAATTTTGCTAAAGGGTTTTCTAGATCACACTGGCCTTTGCACCATGGAAAACCTTTTTTGAAAAATTTGTAGGGACGGTGTGTTAGAAAAGGGAAACTAATCTTCTCCCGCCATTAACTGACAGTTCAGCTTGTATCCAGTGGTGGGAAGAAAACAATAAACAGAGGTCGCACACGCCGTTCATGATAAATGAAATTTATTACTTTCATAGTTTTTCAAGTAACATTTTGTCCATTTTCAATTGCATGTAATTATTGTTGTATTAATGATATCATTTCCGATTTATTCAAGTTGATACAAGCATATAAAAAACAACATTTTATGACCAACGTGTTGTCTATTGTCTGATTCTAATCTCTAAAATAATTTTTTTTAATTTTTGACATCGTGGGGTATATTGATGAACAAATCGTCTGAGAACTACTGAAGACCGGATCATGTGTTACAAATGTAACTTATGAACACATGAAAAATGCAACAGCGGTGACATCAGATCCAGAGGCTGTTTGTGCGACTTCCGTGATAATTATTTGTTTTTATTAGCACTCTGTTCGTTATTACCCTGCGGCAATTGAGTAAACAAGAACACGAAGGGTTTTGTTTTTTGACTAAAAAGTTGATTTTTGTTATAGTTTTTCCAAAATTGGATATAGTAGTTTGTAGATAAATAGTTTAAGCATTATTATGAGTAATAAAGAAATTCGTTTCTCAACGCAGCTTCCGCTCTGTTCTTTTTTTGCTTAGGTGTTCGTAATTACCCAACTCTCCTCTAATATATGTCCTTGTTCTAGACATCCCTTCAATTAGGAAATCAGACTAAATTCGACGTAGCGACGAAGTCAAAATTTGCGTGGCTGGTTAACGACCAGGAATAAAAGTTGATAGTTATGCTTCTGTGAACACCGAGCCAATATATAGCCAATCATCTTAACGAGATTTCTGCATTCGTTTGATATTTCGTGGTTGCTTTTATTCGGCTCTGTACCGCATTGGGGATCGGGTATAATTTTTGATATTCGCGATCAAAAGTTGCCCCCGGGAATAGGAATGATCTCGAACGTAACATTCGATTTAACGTGCGTCGAGTGAGTCATATTATTTGCTTCTTACATTTTTTTTATGGCGTGTATTGATACTTCTGAGATGGCTTCATCGTGTTTATGTGACTATAGCATTGTTAAAAATTCATTGAAAACACAATATGTGGAAACACGTAAACTATTTTAATTACAGTAACAGTTTATTGGATAATTTCAATTCACCAACAACGAACGTACTTCTTTGAAATAAAAACCAGCGACGATAAACGCATGTCTATTTCGATTAGGCGATAAACATGACACATTTGAAAATTTATAAATTAATAAAGGTTGCAAAAGATCCTACAACATGTATTGTTATAACATTTTAATCATCATCATCGTATCATATCTATCGTACTGAAAAGTCATTTTGACTTGTTTGGTAGTCCTAGTGTTAAGAACCCCGCCCTTTACGTTCCATTTAATTACTGTTACCTTTATATTTTTCAACTTCTCTTTGTATTATTATATCTTTTGTTCTTTTGTATTTTTGAGAATGGTTTTCAATTATCGTATTATAGTTATTATTATGTTTATTAATTTAGAATTTTTGGTTTTATAAATAGCGATTGAACATTATCTTCAATAGAGTTAACTTTTTAATAAATTGATTCTATTGAGAATGTGTAGTTTTAGTACCTTTAGAAAATAAGTGTGTAAAAGTGTTCAGAAAGTTCCAAATTGGTGCAACTTTCATACTCATGCTGAATTCTCAAGAGACTACTTAATTCTGGGTTCACGGGACTCCGTGTACTTCAGATAGCATGATTTTAATGGGGGCGATTTTAATGAAGCTTTCAATTTTAACTTGTCCAACGGTGATGTAGTAAAATATTTTTCAAAATTTTTTTAAATCTCCTTATTCTGAATAATAAACAGGTATTAATTTATCTTTTATATCATTCACTACAAAATAGACTAGTTATACCAAATAAAATTTATAGTATTTCTTGGAATGTAGTGGTGACGCAATTGTACAGGTTTTTCTCTTATTTCTAATGAATTTAATTCATGATTATAATGCTTTTTCAAACATTAGTGTAGCGTCCATATTCTATCAATATATTGAATTCTGAGAGAGTGGTATATAGTCTCAGTTTCAACAATGAACGCTGATCAGATACATAGGGTAAATATCCTATTTACTGCCATTGTCTCTAGTACTGTTCTAATTATTTTACTTAATAAAAACGTAACGTGTAAAGAATTGTGTACAACAAATTTTATTATTAAACTGGAATTTTGATCTACATAAAAATAAAGAAATACGTGTATTTGTATGTACCTGGTATTTAAACATTAATGTTGAAAAGTAAAAGGGCAATTTGAGCATCAGAGACACGGCCATATAAGTAGGATGAGATGGTAAAATAATAATAAAGATAGAGCCAAAATTTTGCTATTCAACCTATATTTATTGCACCGAATGAAATGTTACAGTATACAGGCTGTCTCAAAATAGCTTCGATTCCCGGAAATAACGGGTTCCTGGAATGATTTGAAATAACCTTTTCCTTAGAAAAAATGTTATCCGAGGCTTTGTTAACGAGATATTAACGAAACACCCCGATGAATTAGAGCGTGAATCTGTGGGCCGAGTTCCCGCGGTCATTTTAAGGAGTCGAAGCTATTTTGGGACACCTTGTATAAGAATTTCTTTAGGTTTTGAGGTGGCTGTTTTGGGGATACTGGGATTGCTCGCAGATGTCAATTAATTTCTAATTAATTCATCATACTTAATGTATAAAACTATATTTTTTAATGAAAGGGGTCTTAAATATTATGTTCCAAACCGAGACGATTTTTAGGTGAAACAACACGTGAATTGATTAAACGCAATTACACTACAATCTTAAGGTGGCAGTAATTAGGACATATAACCTATTAAGTCTATTTGCTTTATGAATACAACAAAGGCGTAAATGCTACACAGGTTACTGAAAATACGAATAAAGTGTTCGATCTAAATGTAACGAAAGTGAGAAACTGAAGCGAGAAAATTCTAGAACGCATTTGACAAAAAATCGTGCACGATGAGATGCGCAAACGAGGTTGCAGGTAGACCCTTCAGGGAGTCGACGCGAAATTCCTGTACTTTAACTTTACCCTTTATCGGGTTAACTATCTCATTGGAATTTTTATTACCTCAGCTTCCGCAGACGCGCACTGGGAAATAGTTCGTGATCGAACGTTCACTGGAAAGGAACCAGCAAGGTCGCAATGAAAAGCTGAGCATTGTCATATGGATGACATTCATAGCTTGCATTTGACTGGAGGTGATTAACGGATTCGTGTTCAATTGCCAGAATCGTAAACTGCATTACAATTGCCTGGGGAGAATCGAATACCTAGTTTCTGTCGGTATTGTCAACAAAAGAAGGGAACACGGACCACTGTGCGCAACAACCTATTAATCGATAAATTTGCAGTAATGTTTGATCGGTGCGTAAGTATACATATATCTGTCGGCATCCCGATTCGATTTATACTGTCGGGATCCCGTGATTTCGGGTACCCGCACACCCCTGCTAATTGTCAAAGTGGGAATAATGCCACTGGCAATTGAAATTACGTTTAAAACTGTTCTGAAAACTATAGTGTCACACCTTGTATCCTAAATTAACTCTTATCGATTACAAAACGGTATCTGTTCATGGGCAGAGCAAAGGGGGAGCAGGGAGGGCACTTCCCCCCCCCCCTGAACGGAAAAAATGGTTTTTGCCCCACATTGATCTACAAGAAAGAAATTAGATTCCCCCCCCCCATCCCAGAGATACAAAATGTTTGCGTAATATTTAATATTGCAGTATCTATAATTTGAAACACGACCAACAGCCTCTATTAACAAAACGCATACAATTTCAACGATTTGGGACTTTAAAAATAAAATAAAGTGTGTCTGGCTACGTACAGCCTTTTTCTCTGTGGTAGTCGATATGTTAATATTTTAGCCCCCCCCCCCCTGACTGATAACCTGGCTACGCCCATGTATCTGTCTTTTTACATCTTGAAATGTACGTTCTGGTACTATTTTCATTCTGTAAAGTGATGAAATTTGACAGTCAAGTGTCCTTATCTACAGTGGTTTACTCTTCTTCGAAGATAGTTTAATAATTCGTTCAATACCGAAAATGAATTTCAATAACGGCGTTCGTACATGTTACTTGTTTATTTCGTGTAATTTCGCTAATTCAATCGACATAAATGTTTATTCATATGCTGTGTCAGTAAACTGTTTTATATAACATTCGAAAAAAAATGAATCTATATCTATACTTTATAATCTTTATATATGTCGGGACGTGATGGCAGCGACGCAGACCGTTGGCAACGACGTGTAACACTTGTCTATTCTACAAAACATTTGTAAACTTTTGGCATTACACGTCTGTGTAGGATTAAGTCTAGTTGTAAAATAACAATTTAGGCATTTAGTTTATGCGTTGACCATAGGATAGTTTGGAGTCCGAAGCTTGGACGTACCTTAGTAATTGCCTTGCGAAGGGGCAATAAAACAGTCCCCGTTTACCTTTTTTACCCCTCTTCGCGCGCGGCGCAAAAGGAGATGCGAGATGGGGTCCCTGGAAGAAAATGGGTTGGGACCCTGTTGAACGTGACCACGGGCGGCAGAATAGTTTCGGTTACGGTAGAGAGAACACCAGCTTCGAGAAAAGTCGTTTTTTTTTTGTGGGTACGGAGAGAGAAAACGTAAATACGTACGCGAACATTCTGTCAAGCCCGTGGGCTCGTTGACGTGTCGTTGAGGTTTGTGCATCGCTTGAGTGCTAAGGGGGTGATCCAATGGAGAACGTCGCCGATCAAACTCCGACGGGTCCAATGATGAAGGATTACGCCCCGCCTCCGATATATATTATTCATATAAGTGTACAGTTTTTCGTTCATTTGACCTACATCTTTAAACATACATATTATTAAATATATTTGCATACAATATTTGTGTTAACTTGGGACTTATAACAAAAGAAGCTAGTAATTAATGTTACTTTATAAGTAAATGCCTCTTGTCATCTAATAATCATATGGAACTTGTTAATATAAATAAGAAGGAAATGGAACATATAAATAAAAGAACAAAAAGGAGGTCAGAGTTTTAGTTGACAAACAATACATTTTCCTTATGAACTTCAGAATTAAATTAAGCATCTTCCGAGATATTTTCTTTTTAAATCTGAGATTGCATTTTTAACGGATGTTACTTTATATAAATTGACACAATTAAAAGTTTCGCACCGTGTGGACTAAAGTATTGGATCGTTCGTAAAAGTTCGTAGCGTTTCGAGAACAACGTTTTTGTGAACTCTTTACTGGACGAAGGGAAAATAGTTTGACCTGGTGAGCACCTACTATTTTCCAGGTATGGATTGAATGTACTTGCTGTACAAGTTACTACGTATCGTTTTTATTGTTTTCTGTGAGAAACACCCACGACACGTACGAACAAACACAAGGTTCATTTACATTAGGTTCTATCAAACGTGTCACAAAATTACACTACTTTAACTGGAAAATTGTATAGTATCTACACAATTAAGTAGACTTAACACCATTGGATGATAAAGCATTCAAAGTTGTATATAACTGGTACAATAAAATTAATTGAAGAATGGTAAGAAATTGTGGAAAAAATACGTATAGTGAGTAAGAATACGATATAAATTTAAAAAGTACAAATAATAACTATGTTCTTAAAAACGCTACCAACTTTCCGAATAACCTAATAAAATCGATTTGGTTTTTCAATCAAATGATTTATAAGTTGGCCATTTAAACGATCGATGCTTCTAGACTTTTTTCACGCTATCGGATCAGCAGAGAAGAAAAGTATCGTCCTAGTTCCTTATCAATGAAGCAGTCAACGAAATATCTAGCTCCTCCGATTATTAATCGTAACTGATCTCGAGAAGAATCTATAATACGATAAGACAACATCAAACCAAAGAGCAATCCTTGATATCGTTTTAAAAGCAGTATTTTTAATTGATTATTATTCCTATCAATTTCAATGTAACATAATCGGTAATTGAATTTGTTTATAAATCAATTTTCTGTGCATTTTCTGAATAGTTTTTAAAGCTTTAAGTTGTATGCATGTTACAGATTCATAATATTACATTGAGCTTTTATTTAAGACAATGAATTTGGGTGTAATATCATTTTGATCGTTTACTATATCTTACAATCAGTATAAAGTACAGTAAGAACTTGAAAACAGTTTTAAGAATTTATTTTTCATAATACTACTTTTTTTTCCGTACAAAGTGACCCAATAAAGACAAAATTTTGTAAGTTGAATAATATTTAGTTAGTATCAATATTGTTTCTTTCTGTTTAGTTAATTGATTGATTAAAATGATTTAAACATATGTATTTCCACGATCGAAACGGAGACAATGTAAGATTATTTATGAAACGTGACTGTACCTATGTACTCATATTCGATTTCTAAAGCACGAGTCTTGCCACAACATTTTTCATGACAGTTATGAATGTTTCTGGATATTATAGGAGAATTATATTTTTATGAACATCTAATTTCTGTCCTTGAAACAACAATAGCATTGTTGCTTCTTCAAAAATAAAATCCCACAACTTTTCTTCGCTCTGCTACAACTTATTTCAATCGATCCTTTCGAGCGTTTCATTCGCGATTATGCACAAAAGAAATTTTCAAAAATTTGTCAACCAGAAGTTATGATATTTCATTAATTTTTCATAATCTACGGACTACAATGTGTATCGAACAGTTTACGTGCAGGTATGCGAGAGAAGTATTCGTCGCCAATGTCCATATAAGAAATTCTACACCCTACTCCGCTTGAATTACACAGCGCGGGTATAAAAGGGGGCCGACGTTATTAGATTTCGCTGTAGTCGATCTTATAACTTTGGTGTCGGTGGCGTTCCGAAATAATCAGACGCGGGCACGTAAGGTAACTACAGGAGGCATTGAGATCGCCCAGGAGCACCGCGTAACACCTGCGAAATCATCGCGACTTTCGTTCCCGTGACAATTAGCAATGTTTCGTTAAAAGCAACTTTGTCTTTTTCCTACGTTCATTACGCGATAAAGTAGCAATTAAAATGTAAAGATACTGTCAGTTTTACTGCACTTCTACACTGTGTACACTTCTATTCACATGCCACTAGACATTTGCGCTGGTAAACGTAGAATAAGAGAGTTTAAAAGTTACTTACATGATGAAACTAGTGAATTCCTATTAATTTTGCACATTGTCCAGAAAATGTTGGTTGTATAGATTGTTGTGAGCAATCGTGAAAATCAGTTGGTACGTTAACAGTGAATTTTCTCCAATAATTCTCCCCCGATTCGACTCGAATTATTCTACAATTACTTCTAGTAGTTCTTCGTTAATTGTTACGAGCGTTTTTGGTAATTTTGGTGATCAGTGTCGGAATTATTACTGAATCCATTAAGTCCCAAGCAGTGAGATAAAACAATTTTTACACATAATATAATTATTCACTACTTATAAAAGTGTTTAAAAAACAGCATAAATGCTAACGAAAAGATGTTTGGTACGGACATTTTGTGCAATTATATGTTGCATTTTCAATTTCTTCAATTGAAAATGTAAATAGAATAACTTATACATTATTTTGCCGAAATATGAAAAACGTATTACGACACTAGAGACCATATTATAGATGACCACTATATGAGAAAGATACACCACACAATTTCCATGATGTAAGAATAAATTGATTTATCATAGTACTATAAATACTTCTTTAAATTTCTTTAAATTTCAAAATGTCATAGGATTAAAATGAAAGATGAAATAGTAACTAAAAAAATATTAAGTGAATCTGTGAAATCCTCTTTCATCACTGCAACATGTAAAACAGAATTCAGTAATATAAATTTACTAAAAAAATTTGCGAGTGAAATGTTGCGTTAACGCAATGTTGGGTCCTAATGGGTCAATCTGGCTTGACTATGGATAGTGTATCAAAATTCAAAACGTATCATTATTCTATAATATCGTTCAGTAATTCTGAAAATCTTTTGAGGTAAATACATCGATGATCACGGTGTTACCGACAAAACAAAATAAATTAGTTAAATTATTTCAAGAAATTACATTTTCGTTCCGAATTTCCATTTTTCTCGAAAAAATCAAGTGTCTGGTAACTTATAGACGGGAATGTATAACGCAATGTAGATGCATTATGGACGCTAAGGTGTGCACAGTAACGCATTGCTGGGCTAATTGTGAGCCGAAGATCACACGATCAATTAGTCGGCTAATTCGACGTTCACCGTGCGTACTTTGTGTGTTTAGGAAAAATGAAGACGGTAATAATATTTTGTGTGATATCATTATACGTGGCTGCCGGCCACGGTGAACGAGAATGGTGGCGGACAATGTCGCTTTATCAGATTTATCCCAGGAGCTTTAAGGACAGCAACGGAGACGGCGTGGGTGATTTAAAAGGTAGGCGTACATCGTTTTCTTCCGGGCTGCTTTTTCTTTCCCCTGCCATTTCGACTTATAGTTTGACGAATATCGGTGATATATGTTCGTACTGGGCGTTAAAAATGGGTTCTATATCTTTGAGGTAGATAGTACTTATTACATTTAGTCGATATACATGGTGGAATATCAATCTTGTCAGTGTCGGGAACAACTTCGATTGTGGTTAGGTAAATAATTTCTGTATATGTGTACAGGGTGTTTCTGAAATCGTGGTGCAACTCGAGGGGATGTGATTCTACATGCAAAAATAAGTCGAAAATGTAGAATAACAATTTTTCGTACAATGATTCATTTTTGTCATCATGTCTGTTCATTAGATTCTGCTTCTATTTATTGTCACTGTGAATATATACGTATTAGATGGATCTTGAAAATTAATTATCTTGTAAACGAAGTGCCGTACGAAAAAATGTTATTCTACATTTTCGACTTATTTTTGCGTGTAGAATCAGACCCTTCCCTGTATACAGGGTTTAACAAAAATGTTGTCCGACCCGGAAACGGAGCACTCTGAGGGTGAATTGGAACAACTTTTTTCATAGCAACAATGTAATCTGAGGCTTCGTTACCGAGATATTAACGAAAAACTCCGACCAATCAGAGCGCGAGTTTGCCAGCCGAGTTCCCGCGCTAGCGGTGACTACGCGCTGCGATTTATAGCCAACGCTACCGCGGGAACTCGGTTGACAAACTCGCGCTCTGATTGGTCGGGGTTTTCCTTTAATATTTCGGTAACGAAGCTTCAGATTACATTGTTGCTGAGGAAAAAGTTGTTCTAATTCACCCCCCGAGTGCCCCGTTTCCGGGTCGGAGAACATTTTTATTACACCCTGTATATGTATATAATTATTCCGTAGAATGTGCATGCACATTCGATAGTACTTATTATTAGTTCAAAATATATAAAATACTGTTTTCACAAATGAAACATTAACCACGCGTACTTTCTCCAACGCTATTTAAACGCTATTTCTCTTGTTGTTTATCGTGGAGTATTTTCAATCATACCATTTGCAACATAATTGTCAATGTTATATTCGGATCTTCCTCCTGATTCATTTTCTAATGAAAAATCACCAGCCTTAAATTTCACCGTACCAACATTTGAACTGTTCTAACATTTACATAACCTTTCCTACAAATGCTAAATTTGTGTTTTCAGCCATTTTTGCGGCGTTTGTACCAAGTTGAAACTGGTGTAAACAAACCAAAGGAATATTTTGATTATTCTTGACGGCTGTTCATGAGGTTTTAACTATTTATGTTATACGGGGTGCTGAAAAATGTAGGGTCTAACAATAAGACTTTAGGTGCTTATAGTAGATACTCACCGAGTAGAATATTAAATGTCTAACCAACATAGGTCCAAAAATCAATCCTTTCAAAGAAAAATACAAAAGTTTGAATTCAAACTTATTACAGATTTTCCAAATATCTTTTTCATTTTAATAGAAAACTAACGTCTGTGGATTATAGATTGGTGTTCTCTTGATTTAAAAATATTCCGTCCGCATGTCGTATTGCCTGTTGTCATACAACCTTGAATTAATTCTCTTCTGTTTACATTCAGTATATTACGAAGTGATTCACTTAGATTTATTTTAGAACCTATGTTGATTAGATATTCTTTACTTCACCTGGTGAGTACTCCAAGTCCCTGAAGTCTTAAACACTCTTTTCTAACACCCTGTTATTTTGTTGCTATACAAAACACGTGTATAATAGAACTGAAGATCAGACAACATTTCACGGATGTTATTCGTTCGTCAAATTCAAACTCCGTAATAACGATATTTCATGCGCACCAACCTAATGCATACATTTAGTCGATACATGGCTAAATTTCCATTAACGTTACGCAAGTAATTTGCTTATATGGAATGTGCGTGTACATTGAACTTTACTCAGTTAATTATTGAGTAACAAGAATTGAAGTCAAGAATTATTTGGATATTATTTGATAACTAATTATCTTATAAAGATTTAAAATATAATTTAAAAAATTATAGTTAAATCTTATAAAAAACTTATAACAAGTCTGTTCAACGGTAAATATTGACTTGGGGCGGATATTATTATACCCATATGTTATTTTAATACTTCCACTGACAAGGGAAGGCACGGAAGTGTCCCCCTCCTATTTTGATGAAACTTCGTATGTCTGTTAAGCAGTCAAACATAAGGAGTACGTATTTTTTTTTATCGGTTGAGACGCGACCTTAAGGGGTGAACCACCCCTCGAAGTTTCGATCCGAAAGTAGTATCTCGAAAACGAGAGGAGATACATGAAAATTTCTAATGAACTCGATTTGCGGTTTCGTATGTAGAATAATATGGTGCTAACCAATTGTCCAAAATATAATTTGTTTGTAACAAAAATATTTCGGATCGAAACTTCGAGGGGTGGTTTCACCCCTTAAAGTCGCGTCTTAGCCGATAAAAAAAATACGTATCTCTTATTTTTGACTGCTTAACAGACATACGAAGTTTCATCAAAATCGGAGGGGAACACTTCTGTGCCTTTCCTCGTAAATACGGAATTCGCAGGAAAGTCAATCTTTTATTCATTAAACGCAAACCAACCTATCCTAACTTCTATCACCTTGCATAGAATGAAATCTGACCGTAATTTAAAACATTTGGGAGTCGTTTCTTATACGCCATTTAATACATTACCATAGCGTTATTAAAAACTCTTTAAACATTCCCAAAACGTACAGAGAATATTACTTTTACACATTCGGAAAACGTTCTGAGAATGTTGACGCAGAACGTTCCACTTTGTAAATAGGACCTTCCTAAGACATTTATAGATCTTAACAAGGACGTAGTGGGGATATATGAACCTTTTCGGGACTTCCTCCGTATATACCGAACGTCCGAAACGTATGATAAGGCGAATATGATTATTAAGTAATTTCTGTAAAATTGTCCGAAAGGAAGAATAGAAAATGTTTACTATTCCTCGAGTCTCTTATTATCTAATGTATACAAAAAGAACTTGAGGGATCTAATCCGCTGATGTACAAGTTAAAGCGGACAGTTTAATTATTCCTCTATCCACTGCAATTGAATCGCAAATATCGAAGAATTTCATCGAAGAGATAACCAAAGAAGGTAGATCTTCTAACGAGAAACGGTTTTTTTGTCTGCAGGTATCAAAAGTAAGCTGAATCATCTGCCCGAGTCGAACATTGACGCTTTCTGGGTGTCCCCAATTTATCCTAGCCCAATGGTCGATTTCGGTTACGATATATCCAACTTCGTCGACATCGATCCAATTTTCGGCACAATACAGGATTTTGAGGATTTGCTGGACACCGCGCACAACATGTCCTTGAAGATGATCATGGACTTGGTCCCCAATCATTCCTCGGATAAGCACGAATGGTTTCAGAAAAGTTTGCAGAACATCGAACCATACACTGATTACTATGTGTGGCGCAATGGTACAGTGCTTGAAAATGGTACCGTTGTACCACCGAATAATTGGGTGAGTCTGATATATTCTTACTTCGAAAAGATTCGAGTATGATTTTTGTAAACTACGAATTTTAATAATATTTAACAATAACTTACAAACAATAACAAGTAAAATTTCGAGTGAAAGATTATCCTACACGTCGCATAAATAGCAGATACGTAATTATTAGCAACGTTAAATTAAGGTAAGTGTACTGTATAGAATTATTTAGTCCGTGCAAAAGTTTTGCTTTGTTTTGTTCTAAAAGAGTAGACTAATAATAATTTTAACTATAATTTAAAGAAATACATAATGATTCTATTATAACATATACATTTTCAATAGAAATTTTCTATCCCAATAAACAAATTTTTGGAGTATTATTAGTCAGTGAATCTATATAATTAAATTACATTAACAAAGTTATAGTTTGCTATAGAGTGGATTGCCAGAACAGCTCCTCGAAACAGATAACGAATGTTTCTTGCGGTATTTGCAACGTTTACCTACTCGTTTTATTTTCTATTTTTTTTCAGGACTCTAATTGTAATGTTATTTTAGGCAATATAACAGACTCAATCGCTTTAATTTTTATTCTAAACAATAATTCACTGTGTGACACTAACATCGACACATAATATGATAAAATAATTGTTTATTGTTTCCACAAAACCGTGGCGACCACATCATCTGCAGAAAATCTATAAAAACTTTTGCACTGACCTTAGAGAAAATTTTGCAGCTTGTGGCAACACTTTGAAAATTAAGTGGCTAATATGTTTCAACCACATACAACTGCTTAATATATTATTTTGTAATCGGTTTACGCTTTGTGACGTTATGACAACTGTCATTTTTTCGGGTACAAAAAGTAATTTTCCTCGTTCTATTTCGATCTTTTCCATTGAACAATCAGATATAAGTATATAAGTTGACATTATTACGTTTGAATAAGTGTCCCGTATTATAGTGTTTGGCTATAGATTCATAATAATTACATAAGAATAGGCCCAGCTGGCATGAACTCATAACATTTTGTGCACAATGGCGTCAACAGGGACTTGTTACACACGAAAAGAGGCATGTTGTTACATTGTGTTTTGTAATTAAAGTAATTAATTTCATAATTATTAGTTAATATAATTCTTATTATTTATAAGAAAGTAGTACGGATCTATGTAATGACGACGTCTAGGGATACCACACCTCTTGCAGTACTTGAGACAGCAGCTCAAGACATCATCAATAATAAACGTCGATGTTAAGACAGTCAATTCAAAATCATCGTGTAGATTTTCTGATTCTGCGCAAATTTGTTCAGAAGTACGAGAAAAAAGACATTTTTCAATTAACTGTTGGCTATTTAATGTAAAGCAGGTTCTTACAAACGATTTATTCAGTTTAATTGATTTTTACAATTAAACTAATTTTCTTTCCTGAAAACATAACTATATTATTTACAATTAACCTCTCTTACAAAATTTAGCGTTGTACCAAGTTTCCCCTTACTATGTGACAAGTAGATATGTACTTTGATACAAGACGTCTCGTCCATTAAAGTGACTTTTTTAATAGTCATGGCTTTGACTTAATTGTATTAAATAACGGCCATCGGTAGAGGGAAGTATGTACTTTAAGTAGGAGTCATGACTAGTATTGAATATGGAATACAAAAAGAAATAAAAACGGAACATAAGAAAATGTAACAACCAGCCCCGGTCTCCCTTATGTCACAGCCTAGAGGATTTGCTTTAGAAATGAAATAGGAATTTGCAAGTTTCGAGTGATCTATTCTCAGTCTATTGAGATTCTTTGTTGTTTTCGTTCAAGATATACCACATTATCCGATTTCTGTAAACCAAAATATAGAAAAAATGAATAACTGCTATTGATTCAGTAATACCTATGTATAACACTAGAACGTTACGCAAATTCGTCGATTTACATTTAAGATTACACTTCAACCGTTTCCAAAAATGTATACTTTTAATCCACAATTTTCACATATTTCCCGTTAAAAGTAAGAACTCGAATTTTGTGCAATATTCGATTCGCGTTAAATACTTTGCCGAAAATATTCCAACGCACAGGAAAACGCATTTCTGTACAAATATACGTTTCCGCTTTGGATGGAAATATATTAAATGAATATCATGACGCAGCTATCGTGATGCTGGAGTCCACCAGGTGTTGCGCCAGAGCTATGGCGATTTCTTTTTTAGTCGTGATCTGGTCAAGATCTTTAACACTAAACGTACCGGTACTTTACAGATACCTATTCTTACCATAAGGGGTCATTTGACCTCTTATGAAATAAACGTGGATTTTTAGAAAGAAATTCTTAATTTATTGAAGGAAATAATTCGCAACATAACTTCTGATTTCTAATAAAATAAACATATATTTTTATTTTTATAAATAAAATAATCAATTGATTACACTTTTTATATATGACTGGTTTCTCCTTCATGCATTTTCCGCAGACAAATTTTTTGCTAATTATGCAAGTTTGAGTGGTTTTATTACCCGTGCACAATCTTATTTGGCATTCTCTTCGTGATTGGGAATTACTGCTTGGGCTGCTTGATGTTCCTCCTTGTAGGTTTTCCTTTTCTTCTTCAAGAAATTCGTGATACTCTGTGATGAATTCATCTGTAAATTGTAACAGGAAACGCTGTCTTGGTATCTTTATTCCAGTTCTTGCCTGATAGAGGATGCATGCATTGATTCCAGCGAAATCCAGGATATTGAAAAATACGTGTACAGGCCATCATATCAACTACATCGACGCCAAATTTAGTCTTATTATAATAACTAATTGTTTCGGGTGTTCGCTTTTTATTGTTTTTGGTTTTGACGCATTTATGTTTCGAACTTAGTATCTGATTCCAGAACTAAGGTTCCACTTGGAGAATTGCAGAAATATACGTAAATTTCGTAAGGGGTCAAATGACCCTTCGTGGTACATAAGGTGTGCAAAGAATTTTTCTCGGTAAAAAATAAGCTATGAGAAAAATGGAAAGCGAGAAATTGAATAATCAGATAATATAAGAACTTACAAAAAGTCAGATGAGCGAAAGAAATAACAATGAATGTACGATTTTAAAGTAAATTTTGAAAGGGGTCATTTGACCCCGCTTGGTACGTTTAGTGTTAAACTCTAGAAGAGTTTCCTGGATGCGTGCTCTTATTTTGGCAGCCTCACCTAGGAAAACTTTCGCTGATTTCCGGAACTCGTCCATTCTCTGCTCGGCCTGATGATCCAGTTGTAGCATTAGATCTTCAGCCGTGTTCCTCCTGACCTTGAAGACGCTGCTTCCAAGACTGTTCAGCGCCGCTTCTTCCTTTATCTTGCGCATGCGATCCGCATTTTTCTTTTTCTTCCTCGTCTTCTTCTTCTTCGCTACCTGCTACTCCGACGAAGTCAGAAAAGAAACTGGCTTCCTCAATGTTTTTGGTGTGGTTGCAGCTGCACTCCTGTTCGGGGCTAGGCTCTTGGCCTTGGCCTTTTTACGTTTGTCTACCCTCGATTCTTTTAACGATGGAGAAACCTAACCTCGTTTGTTGTTGGCCATACCCGCCGTCAGACCCGGTGTAGTCTCGTGTGTTTGTGTGTGTACGAATATACACATTCGAGCATAATAAATAGTATGGAGAATGTATTATTCTCCATCGTTTCTTTCCACAAAACACTTGTCCCAATCTTAGATTTCTCTAGTAATGTAACTGTCTATATGTTTTCACTAACATCTTACCTGGTACAGTTCAGTATAGGTTTCCTTTCTTCCTATTATCATCTACGAAAACTCAGAAAATTATTCTTTTTATATAGGTGAGTGTGTTCGCTGGATCGGCTTGGACGTGGCGGATGGAACGCCAGGCGTATTATCTTCACCAATTTGCGCCGGAACAACCAGATCTGAACTTCAATAACGAAAACGTCGTACGGGAGATGCAGGTAGGCATTGCTCTTGATATAATGGAAATTAAGCACGCGGACGCAAATGAATCTCGTGGCATTCGCATATCGAATTGTTCCGATCGCGTGTGGTGAAATTGACGCCGCGATTGGGTTGTACCGTGAATATTGAAATTTTCTGTTACTTACATAACGATACGGTATTATTGGAAATTCAACAGTGAATAATTCTAATGTATGATGTAAAAGAGACTGAAATCACAAGTTACATACGTAAAATAATAATAGCTCTACCCGACAACTTGCGTCGGTTACAAAGTGGTGAATATTGTATGTTCCTTTTTCGATATTATTTTTCTTTCAAACTTTTTGTACAATTCATAGTGATATTATAGAATTATGTTTAGGACATTGTAGGTGCTGCGCCATAGATGCTATTAGTTATTGCATTATAATAATATATAAACACACAGACTGCGGATATTAATTAATCTTTCCATTTTCATATATTATTTTATAAACCAGAGTAATTTAGTAATTACACAGTAACAGAGAAATTTAGTTTATCAATTAAGGGTTTCGTTAAATTAAAAACAAAGTAACACAACTATTCATTCTCATGAATATGCACATATTGTAGATGTCCCAAATACTAACCTTAAGATTGTATTATATATTAATAAACATCTTTTTCAATAAAAGAGTAGTTGTATACATTAAATATGAAGAACTAATTGATAAGTAATTAAAAGCTGATATATTTTAACAACTAATTTTGAGTAACGGATATAGGTTGAATAGTAAAATCACGACTGTTTCTTCACTATGATTTCGCTATCACTTCCTACTTATGTAGTCGTGTTTTGGACGCTCAAATTTAATTTGAAATATCAGGTACAGATGAGTATATGTATTTCTTTGTCTTTAAGTGAATTAAATTTCCAATGTAATAATAAAATTGTTGCGTACACAATTCTTTGTACCTCATGTTTTTATCAAGAAAAATAAAGTAGCTATATTAGCTTCACCATGGCCCAGTTTAGTACAAATAGTCACAGTTTAGTAATAAAGATTCAGTTTTATTGGTTTTGCTAGAGTCATATTAGGTAAAATAATACGTTCTACGTAACCCATGGAAATTTATTCAGAAGTTTAATATTTCACAGTATGATAATTTTTCGGGTAAATGCCCATTGAACTCATTTAATCGTTATATTTTCAAGCGAACAATTTCTAAACCATTTCAGTTTGAAAATTCTGCTTCATTACGTAAGTTCATTAATCCACTGGGTTTCAAGCAACCTGCACCATCGGCATAGAGAATTTTCTCCGGAATTGAATTAGCTTCGACCTAGCAATGAAACCCTAATTTCGCTTGAGGTTCCTCCAGCCAAAATTAGGCAGGGGCCAGACAATCGCGTTGAATTATACCGGTGACAAGTTATATCGCGTACACGTTGCTGTCGATTCTAACTTCGCTCGGAACCGTTTCGATTCTAATTACATACTCCAAGCCGCGTGGAATCCATAATATTCGATCACTTTATTTCCATGCTGCTATCGGGCTCAACAGGTTCCACTGAAACGTGAAAAGTCGGGAAGATAGTGAAATATTTTATCGAGATAAAGGGTCATCATTGTTATCGGGTAATCAGTTTGGAAAACTTGATAAACAAGGTCATGTAAACTGTCGATCAGAAAGTACTCTATTAATTTTTCTTGTTCTTGGTGTCGATCGTCAGGAATGTTTTCGATGTCACAATTTCTCGTATGATCCAAGTTTGACGCTTTATAGCGACTCGTATTGGAGGTTATCATCCTGAAAACTATTTCCGTTTTCTAATTTACGTTTAAACAATTATTGTGACATGTTGACAGAATACATTTAATGAACGTAATTAAAAATTGTAATATCGTATTGGAGTCGACGCGAGAATGTGCAAATGTAATACTTAACTTGGTGTACTTCAAAATGATGCTTTTAAATGAAGCGAAATTTACGAAACGTTCTATATGTCGGCGTTTATTTATTATCATTAATACTTAATTGTTGAGGTAAGGCTTTCACCAATCCGGAACAATCTATATTGTTTTACTCGAGAAGGTAAAAGACGAGGCTTGTTTTTTAAGTAAGGTCCGTTTTAAAATTACCGTCAATTGAAGTAAGGAGGTGGGATCGTAATTACATAGTATCTTTTTCGAATTCCTTCACTAGCTGGCGGCCATTTAGTCTTAGTCAGATTCGCATTTATTATCGCATGTCAATAACTTACGGTGAGTGCTCCAGTAAATAATCCCACCAACGTGCTGTTATCCGATTCTTCGTAGCAAAAAACAATAATGCATAAAACTTAGTGAATAAAATTTAGATGTATTATTCAAAACTAAAGACGTAGGTTACTGTTCGGTGGGATTATGCTCTTACACGACAACCCAGATAGCACTGTATATCCTAAGGACGTCCGTTTCATGTCCAGTTTATATCCGAATGTCCTACGTCCATTTTGGACATCCCCATGACGTTCGTAAGACTGAAATTTCGGATGTTCTAGGAACGTCCGTCCCAAAAAGTCCTACGGATGTTCTCAAGACTTAAATTTTGGATGGTTTCGTTTAGTATTATTGCCAATATCATTCCGTGCAAGGTGATGGAACCCTATGAATAGGGTCTTTAAGGAATCAATAGAGAAGTGTAACGACACTAGTGGTTTTATGCTAAAACCTCAATAAAGTTTAAAAAACATATTTTCTTAAACTGTCCCTAACCAACACCGAATCAGAGTTTTTCTGTGACAATAGAAATAAACACAATGTACTTGGAGATCATAATCCCCAGACCTATATTTTTAGAGGAAATTTAACCTTTTATTTATTAACAGGAACTACCTAGATTTAATTTCTACTAAGTGCGGAAATCGCAGGAAGTTAATCTTTTATTTGTTAAACACAAACCAACCTAACCTAACTCCCGTCGCCTTACACAGAATGAAACCTAACCGCAATTTTAAACATTTGGGAAACGTTTCATATACGTCTTTTAAGACATTACCATAGCGTTTTTAAAATCTCTTTAAACGTACAGGGAATGTTAGTTTTACACATTCGGGAAACGTTCTGAGAATGTTGACACAGGACGTCCTCAGGACGTTCCACTTTATAAATAGGACCTTCCTAGAACGTTTAAAGATCTTAACGAGGACCTAACGGGGACGTATGGATCTTTTCGGGACATCCTCCGAATGAACAGAACGTCCGGAACGTATATCCATCGGACGTACATAGGACGTTTTTGTGCTATTTGGGAACCCTCGACCTCACACCGCACCTCGAACAGTTCAAATATTGGAACAATTTTGCTGGGAAATTTTTAACTGTCCACCTTATATTTCTGCATTTGAAAAAATGGCTGGCATTGCTGTGGTTTAAAAATGATGATGAACCGAAGAATACCGGTAATGCATAGTGTAAGACTCTGGTGGCGGAGTTCTTTGACTGTGGAATAAGAATACTAGTGATACGATATCAAAAATGTATCGAAGTCATTGACGACTATGTGGAAAAATAACACAAATATGTAGATACTTTTTGACTAAAATTCATATCTTGTTTGCATTCATAAGACATTTATATCTTCTACGGTTTTTTTCTTACTTTCGAACGGACCTTACTTTAAATATGTCTCGTATATACAGTCGAAAATAGGCTAGTGTTGAGGTCATCTACTATGAAAGGTCATCAGATTCTTTTATCTTTCCTTATAAAATCCGTGACACGTAATATTATTTACTGTTAATATCATCAGTTATTACAAGACTAAGAAAGAACAACCATTAAATGGTATTTTTAAAGACGGTAGACATTACAGCTTTCTGTGCACATATTACCTTATTTAACACTAAATCTACCACAACCTGTCAACTGACCTATTTTGCCATTCCAATTCCTACCGTCTTCAAGGGTTCGGTAGGTCTAGTGTTAAACAATTTCCATACGTAAATAACATTCTAATTTGGGACTTAGGCAGTTAACCTTTAATTACTCGCATGAGGTCATTGTAACTTCTATGTCTTCATAAATGTGTCATTCGTACAAGATGTCACAATCTGTCCGTATAGCTTCCTAATTAGGTCTTCTTTAGGAGATTCTGGTAATGACTGACTCCATGCAACTAGTTACGCAAAGAAGCATTTGTTGGGGTCCAACAAGACCCTATGCGAGCAATTGTGCACAAAGCGGGGTGCGAGTACCTAAACGTTAAAGAAGCCGGGAATTAAGTAATAGAAAGCGATTAATATTATAGGTATTTCGTGATCAGATGATTGTTTTAAAGCACTACTCGGTGTTCCGAATGTGTTAATTCGACAACGATCATATAAGTAACCGTAATTAAGCTTTTGTCAGATGGCTGAATTTGAGGTATAGGATCTTCTTTTTATCGAGTCACCCTTACGCTTGTCTGGATGCTGGATTACGTACGTGGAACCGTTACCAGGCTGGAAAAGATCCCTCTTGTATACATTACACCGAAACGGAGGCCCTTTTCGTTCCCTTGGCTACTGAAATGATGTTCGTACGTCAAGTGTGGAAATCCAACACGGTTGGCCTTTTTCCCTGGGGCAAAAAGAAGCTTGCAATTTTTTTTCGTGAAATATCGTCTATCAAAATATCGTTTATAGATCGGCGACGAGAGTCGTTCTTCCAATAACGTTATCGGAGAGCCTGTAATTAGCCCCGTAATACATCAATCAAAGGAGGCGCAGACAATCACCGTACATTACAAAAAAATGGTGTTCATTGTATGAAGTGGATTATAGATAAACATGTTTCTGTTTGTTATTCGTATAACTTAACACTATGTAGAACTTTCGAAGATGAACGTGTTTTTATTTCTACCACGTTTGTAAAACGGTTGTTGAAAATATGCAAATCGATAAATTAACGAACATAATCATTTTTATAAGAGTTTACGAACGAAAGATTTTGACTGATTTGATAATTCTAATGTTCGAAAAATACAAATTTTATGTACAGTATTCGTAGCATGCATGAATACGAATTAATACAATTTTACTATGATCATTCAATATAACGCAACGAATCACATTGTTACTAGAGCTGGCAGCCATATAGAAATTCTACACAGGGTGTAACAAAAATGTTGTCCGACTCGGCAAGGGGGCACTCGGGGGGTGAATTGGAACAAATTTTTCCGTAGCAACAATGTAATCTGAGGCTTCATTATCGAGATATCAACGAAAAACGCCGACCAATCAGAGCGCGAGTTTGCCAGCCGAGTTCCCGCGCGAGCGGTGACTACGCGCTGCGACTGGTAGGCAGCGTTACCGCGGGAACTCGGCTGTCAGACTCGCGCTCTAATTGGTTGTGTTTTTTCGTTAATATCTCGTTAACAAAGCCTCGGATAACATTGTTGCTAAGGAAAAACTTGTTCCAATTCACCCACCGAGTGCCTCATTTTCGGGTCGGACAACATTTTTGTTACACCCTGTATACAGTAAATCCTCGATGAATGTTCGGAGGCTCCATGGCACTGAACATTAAATATTTCATAAACTAATAGTCATATGCGGCTGAAACAAATATATTTGGCATGCGAATTCCAAACTCTATCACTGTCCTAAACATCATTAAAGTCAGTGTTAGACCTGGGGACCTCTCCTTGTTACTGTAAATATGTTTACATGATTATTCCTGATTGTTAAGATAAGTAGATAATGGTCTGCAAGCTTGTCCAACTATTCATGTTGCACACTGTACAATTGATTAGATATAATCTTCATTGTGCAGCTATTTGTGCTTTTGAAGTCTACTATTGTGTTAGCCAAAAAGTAATGTCAGATTTCTGCAGTAAACGATAATTTTTTGTTTTTCGATACAAAGCACTGCCCCTAAATAAAGTCATTAGGATTGCGTTAAATTGTCATGAATTAACGTTACTTTTTAAATAAGCGACGAGAAAGGTGTATTTTCGAGCAATTATGTAACTTTATTTTTGTTCGTTTATAATATCATCATCGTGCACTCAGGAAATCGTTTCTGTGGTTTATATCGTGTTTTATCACTCTCCGAAAATAAAAAAGTATAATTCCTCGAGAGTATAACTTTTCATCGCTGATTTTCAAAACAAGGTCAATTCAAGAATATTTCACCGAATCGTAATTGTTTTTTTTTAAACATATTATAGAGTGTTTTGTATTAGAATAAAAAAAGCATCATCTGTCTGCAAAAGTCCAGCATTATATTTTGGCCAACCGAATATTTATAGCTAAAAATGGTATTTGCGGTATTTTGTACTAATTATAATTAACATAGAATTAACCAGACGTTTCTTTGCATCTAAAATGATTGGAACGTAACCTGTTCATTTTTTCTATCGCATCGTTATGCTTAACAATGAAATAACTAGAAGTTGCAATTATTTCCGCTGTAATTTTCAATGACTCGGTAACACTTTAAAACGATGAAAACGGTAGGAATTAAAGAGGTATTCATTGTTTCGACGAGGCAGTTGTTATTGCAACGTGACTCTGACTAGTTCTTGTATTTTTATCAAGCAACTTTTCCCAGAATACAGGTACTTACATTGAATCGCTACTTATCACTGTTGTGCAATTCCCGCGAGAAGGAACATCGTGAAAAGTTTTTTGAATTTCGGGCTGCTTGGTAATTCTTGCGGTAGAACTTTCTAAGAGGAAACGCGGATAAAAAATGTAGTGAACTCTGTTACACAAATTAATTCTATAGTCCAAATTATTTCTAAAATACGTTTCTAGGACTTAATTCGATCTGACAAGAGGAAGGCACGGTTGTGGAAGTTATAGTACACATATAGTATTACAAAACCCTCATGGGTTTCTTCAGTATGGGCCTTGGTTTTCCGGATATTTTGGTTTAAAGTTTTGCATGTGTCACGTAGTCTGGTTACATATCACCAAGAAAGTGTCATGGTTACGACAGTAGAGTACCTGCTTATCAGGCTGTAGACCCCAGCTCGACATTCAAGAGACGTATGAATTTCTTTACCCTTTTTTACCCTCTGTTGTCTTCTTTCCTTTCTTTTTTCTTCTAGCTGGCTAACATTCTAACGATTCAATACGTAAAATCACACCGCTAAATAAGTAAAAATATTTAAAAGAAGGCCAACCCTAAATACAATTGAATACAATTAGAATTCATCGAAATTTATGGTTCTATTAAGCATAAAAGTTAAATGTCGACTAATTTAATAATATCTCATAGAATTCGCAATATTAAATGTGCATGGAACAGTTTGTTGACAATAAAAAAGTATTAGTTACATTTCACATTAGGTGTCGTTACAAATATCTTGAGTTGAATAAAGACGTGGCAAAAGTAATGATGGTCTTGCAGATGTCTCATTGCAAAGAATTACATAAAATAGAGTCGTAACGAACCTTTGTTAAACCGATAATATATGTACATATATTACATTTTTTGTTGCAGCGTTTAACTTTTATGAAATTACAATTATTCACTGCTAAAGTTAAATGAATTCAGTTTGTACTTACCTATCACTATTACCGTCAATTTTAATACTGAGCCATGCATAATCCCCAAAGCACAAAAACGTCATATGTACGTCTGGAAAACGTACGTTCCCGACGTTCGGTAAATTCGGAGGATGTCCCGATAAGGTCCAAATACCCCTTCAACGCCCTCGTGAAGATCTTTAAACGTCCTAGGAAGGTCCTATTCAGAAACTGGAACGCCCTGAGGATATCCTGTGTCAATGTTCTCAGAACGTTTTCCGAATGTGTAAAAGTGACATTCTTTGTACTTTTTGGAAATGTTTAAAGTGTTTTTAAAAACGTTATGGTAATGCCTTAAAAGGCGTGTAAGAAACGTTTTCCAAATGTTTAAAATTGCGGTTAGATTTTATTCTGTGCAATGTGGCAGGAGTTAGGTTAGGTTGGTTTGGGTTTAATAAATAAAAGATTAACTTTCCTGCGATTTCCGCAATTAGTAGAAATTAGATCAAGTTAGTCTGGGGGTTATGATCTATGTGCACATTGTGATTATTTCTATTTTCAAAGCAAAATACTGATTCTGTGTTGTTTAGAGACAGTTTAAGAAACAAAATGTTTTTCAAATTTCGTGAGGTTTCCGCACAAAACCACCAGTGTCGTTACACTTCTCTGTTGATTCTCTAAAGGATGACACTTTGCTCATGGGGATTCATCACCTTGCACGGAATAAAATTAAAAATCTAAGAAAAGAAGATTCCTAGAAGATGCGAAATTTAAGTCTTGAAGACGTCCGTAGGACTTCCAAAACGGACATTCCTAGAACATATGAACTTTAAATTTTGAGAACATCTGTAGGACTTTTGGGGCGAATGTTTCTAGAACATCCGAAATTCAAGTCTTGAGATCATCCGTAAGACTTTCGGGACGGACGTTTGTAGAGCAGCTGAAATTTACGTCTTACGAACATCCTAAGAATGTTTCGGATATAAACTGGACATGAAACAGACGTCCTTTGGATGTACGATGCTATTTGGAATACCTAAAGAAAGCTATTTTTATATATGATTATTATAAGTATGTGCATGTATGTCCTTGGTACTATTTGCACAAGAGAATTTTATTCGACTAGAAATGTACTTGCACGTAAAACTTGTTTATCATCTATTAAACAATAATCTTTACGTAATTTCTGTCTACCCATAAATCAGTTAATCGATATTCTTTTCATAACAATCGGTTCTATACAATACAACCAGTTCATTGTATGCAAAATTCTCAGGTGTTTTCATTAATGTATCTATTGTAGGTCGTTTAAATTTATTTTGAAATAGAAAATGTTTTCATTACAGAGTCATTGTAGAAACATTTTATGAGATTACATTAGCTCATGTACAGTGTTTCGCTTTATTATATGTACCTACGTTAGTTTATTTTTATTTCGATGTATACAAATCGATCAACTGAAAAGCATGAAGGCTAAACGCTTTCCCAATATTGTATCGATTCTTCTTGTTTATTTCATACACGAATGTGTTCTTGTTCTTGTAGACAGAAAAGTTTTTTAAATTTGTTGAGGGCTAGCAGCTCAGGATTACTCAAATGTTTTTCTAAAGGTGCCATAATTACGTAAGAAAATAAATAAGAGATACTTTTTATGCATCAGGCTGAAGTCCATTCTACGAACATATTTAGGTAATTTCTTTAAGTTCAGTCGTTTAACAATAGTTCGCATGTTACAGGACGTGATGAGGTTCTGGTTGAACAAAGGTGTGGATGGCTTTAGAGTTGATGCTATACTACATCTCTGCGAAGATGACCGATTTCTAGACGAGCCACTGTCAGGAGATACCAATAATCCGAATGATTATGGATACACAGTGAAAACGTTCACAAAGGATCAACCAAAAACTTACGAGATAGTAAAGGGCTGGAGTGAGGTTCTGAAGGAGTACGAGGACAGCAAGGTGATGATGATGGAAGCTTACACCGATATACCAATGACGATGAAGTATTACGAAGCTGGAGCGAGTTTCCCCTTCAACTTTGGAATGATTACGGATGCGAATAAATCTTCAACGGCGGAAGATTTCAAAAAATTGATCGATAGGTGGATGTCGAACATGCCAACTGGCGCCGCGGCTAACTGGGTGGTAAGTTAGAAACGATTGGTTATTCGATAATATTTAAAAATACATTACTTATAGAGTTTATGGTGGATAACGAAAATATTAGATTGTACACAAATGAATTGCGACTTTTCACTATATAAAATATGCAGTAACAACATGGTTCAGTACATATACAATTTTATTTCTTCTGTCACGATAAAAAGATCGACTTCCAAATCTACGGAATTCGTCAACGTTGTGGTGGTCTGTTGTGGATGTTCACTAGATTTTGTTAAATACACGTGAAAGCATAACTGCAGGGAAGTAGTTTATGGAGAACAGGCGAAAAATTTCCAAATAAATTTCGATGTATAAAATTTCCTCACAGCTCCAAATGTTGAACCAAAACAAGTCGAAACATTTCAGATCTAGGGTTGGTTTGAGTTAATCCTTCGTAGGCAATATGTGTCGTTGACGATCCAAGCAAATTTCCATTTTTCAGGGACTTTCTCCCAATTTATATTTTTATTGAAAAATAGTTTTAACATCCGGTTTAACGAACGACTGTATAATGTAGTAGAGACTGACAAATATCCCGGAATTTTTTCAAATTTCTATGAAGCCCTAAGACAGTAACGCAAATTAGGTTTGGACATTATCGAGGGTTAGTATCCTTAAAAAATATTGCAAAATCATATTATGTAAAATAATGACTTCGTATATTAGCCAATTTTCACTGGCAATTACTAGAATTCACCGGCCAATGTCCGTATTGAGAAATTCATCCTTAACATACAAGATAATTAAATTCTTAAGATGAACATTAAATGGATTTTTATTTCTTATAAAATTGTGCAGTGCCATTATGGAAAACTTCATTCATTTCTTTATTGACTTACTCACACAACAGAATTTTAGCAATTTCATTGCACAATTTTGTAGAATATAAAAAGCCTTAAAGTTTCATTGTAACAGTTTTTTTATGACTACTACGCTTTTCAATATACATACATATGTATACAGAAAAATAAGAAAACACAGATTAACCTTTAAATGGTATTTTTCCCTTGAAGAATCAAATGGTAGCCACAAACATTACCTATTATTTCAATTGAGAACTCCTGCAAACTTATATGAAAAGAATTGGAATTTTTGGGTTACCGACGTTCTGTTGTAACAGAGCTTAGGTAAAATAACGTGTTGCAACTGTTAGACATATGTAAACATCTGTACGGACTGTTGAAGTTGATTATTGTATATGCAATCTTCTTCAGTTCTCATATCTTATATTCATCTTTTATATCTTCCTAATGTTTGAAGTACATATTTACTTTGGTTTCGAGACCAACGTAACCTTGATCCAGAAACCTACGATATTATACACCATCAACTACATACATACTTTGCAGTTTCTGCATGCGATAATAGTAATAAGTTTTAGTGTCCAAAATGAATAATGACTAGTCATTGATTGTCCATGACACGCACCATCGTCACTAGTAGCATATAGGTCTATATACATATATTCCGCATTATAAAATTTATTCCACGCGACATATATATTTAAAAAAGTGTATACATATACAACTTACGACATCAATTTTGCATTTTAAGTAGAAATAATTCTGAACACAGAATAACGTGCATTTGTTTGACTACACTTTATCGGTTTGCGAGATTTTTTTTGTCATCGTGAAACTTCGGGTCAGAAAATTTCGTTCCCAGAAAAAAAATAAGCGAATTCAGGAGAAAAGCGAACAGTTCGGGGGTACAATTGCCACGGGCGAATGATCGTAAAAATTCTCTGCGCAGGTTGGCAACCACGATAAACCCAGATTGGTGACTCGATTCGGGTCTAAACGGGCTCGTGCTGTCACCCTGATGACGCTTTTACTGCCCGGTGTCAGCGTGACATATAACGGCGAAGAGATCGGCATGGAGGACACTTGGGTCTCCTGGGAAGATACCAAGGACCCGCAAGGATGCAACGCCGGTCATAATAGATTCGAACAGATGTCTAGGGATCCTGCTAGATCACCATTCCAATGGGACAACACCACATCCGCTGGTGAGCACTTCAGTCCGTAAAGGCTTCTGTGGTCTATTCTACAATGTGTAGAATAGAGTCTGTTCTAAATATACACTGTATATCTGAAAAGTAACGGGATTGACAGTGCACTACAGTACAGCTTCACCTAACCAATTACTCCTCATTCGAATACCCTAATAGTTGAACGTTCTACTATCTGAAGTTCTGTTATACGAACAGAGTGTCCCCTAGCAATAGATGTATACTTCTGTTACAAATATGCACTGCTTACATACAATGTACACCATCTCTTATTCGATCGAATTCTTCACAATTGCCGATGTTGAAAATTTTCAGTAATCTAGCAGTTAAAAAGATACGGCACCATAAATATTTAAACACACAGTCAACATTCTTGATTCCTATTTCAGGGGTCTTCTGTGATTGTGACGAAAGAAAGGGCGAGCCTTTGGGAACTTTTCAGGGAAAAGTGTGTGTATTTAGTTTCACGAAAGTTTCTGCATTTATTAAAAGCGCATTTAAAGGATGTTTTGTTAAGTTTTCATGAAAAAATATTAATTTATTTAAAAATTCTGCAGGATTTTCCGGAAGGCTTAAGTACATAGAGGGCAGTATAAGAAAAGAGATCGTTCTATTGTTCGAAATTTCCTGTATCTGAACATTATTTTCTCCCTCTTACAATCGGATAGGTACAGGCGGCTGTACTGTAACTCAAACACTGATTATATTTCTGAGAATCATACATTTTATTCAAAATACGTTCCTTTGGCATCAATACATCGTTTGGACACGCTCGACCAATGTACGAACAAGTTCCTCGAGATCTGCAAACAGTTCCTGCAGTTTTTCAACCGGCTAATATAGCTCACTTGATGCAAACGGTTTTCTATGCTTGATTTCGATACTTACAAGGGAAGGCACGGAAGTGTTCATCTTCGATTTCGATGAAACTTCGTACGTCTGTTAAGCAGTCAAAAATAAAGCATACTTATTTTTTTTATCGGCTGCGACGTGACTTCAAGGGGTGAAACCACCCCTCGAAGTTTCGACCCCAAAGTACTATCTCAAAAACCAGAGCAGATACATGAAAACTTTTAATCGACGAGGATTGCGGTTTTTTATGTAGAATAACATGGTGCTAACAAATTGTCTGAAATATAATTTGTTTATAACAAAAAAATTTCGGATCAAAAACTCGAGGGGTGGTTTCACCATTTAAAGTTGCGTCTTAGCCGATAAAAAAAAAATACGTATCCCTTATTTTTTACTGCTTAACAGACATACGAAGTTTCATCAAAATCGAAGGGGGACACTTCCGTGCCTTCCCTTGTTAGATAATGTGTACAATTTTCTGCGTTATGTAACTAGGGTTAGTGTTGATTAAACACTTCGCTTGGTCGTTGTAAATATCTTGTAGTGCCGTGTTATAAGAAGGGTTAGTTGGACATTAGCATTAACAATTTTGATATGACCCCTCATAAAGATTCAAGTACTGTATGGTGAATTATTCGACACTATTTTCTCGTTTAAGCTGCCCTTTTTGACGTGGTTGTCAGGATTTCGACCGAACATACTTGAAAAATCCGCAGATTATACATTTTGTCTATACGTTTAACCCTTTGGGACCCGATGTTTGTATTTAAATAATTGAGTAAATCATAGATCCATCACTTGTATGTAGTACGTGATTTAGAGTATTGTTTCTGAAAACATTCAATTCTGAAAGTAACAACATTGCTTTGTTAATGTATTCGCAGGATTTTCTGCAAACCCAAAAACCTGGCTCCCAATTAACGACAACTATAAAACCATAAATCTAGCTACGGAGAAGGAACAAATAAATTCATACTACAATTTCTATAAGGCTATGTCATGGCTGAAGAAAGCGCCGTTCGTTGTAAATGGAAACTTAACTACGACTGTGTTGAACAATAGAGTTTTACTGATCTCCAGGTAAGCGAATATTGGTATTATATTCTGAAAAAGCTGTTAATAAAGAGAATTTCACCGTAGATTGGGAAGAAACTGTTACCACGAATATTTTCAGAATTGATAATTATTCCAATGTCAGATAATTTTATTTGATTTTACTGAAATAAAATGATAGATTTAGCAAAATAATATATTGAATAATGACTATTCAACAAACGGATAATGGATTACATCAACCATATACGTTGAGTCATTTTACAAAGCTCATTTCGATAGTTTATTATTTATTTATAAATATTAACGAATATATAATATAATCCTTACGTGAGAATAAATTCTGGGAATGTATCAATGACTCGTATAGTTAAAATAATAAATAAGTTATGAAGGATAATAATGACATATAAAGAAATTTATATAAGGTATATGTAATATATTTTTCTGTGACTTAATTTTTAAATATCAAAATCATCCTTATTTCACGCAATTCAATGTTTCTGAACGATTCCGTTTTACTTAGAAGTTTAGTGCTATATCAACTGTTTGTATTAGTTATTAAAAATCAATCATTAATTACAATTGTATTTACAGTTACATCATTTTACTAAATAGCTTTGTCTCATTCAGTAATATAAGTACCTTGGAAATTTTATTCGTTTTAATAATTACTTCTTAAAATTGTTTCAATCCGATTCGTCCGTTGGGCATTTGAAAATGTAGGACAGTCAACAATGACACCTTTGATTATTATAATACTATAGTAAGCATTACAGGAAGACGGATTACATTTAGTTATTAAATAGCAATGGATCAACTTGGTATAGCCAATTTTTAGTTCACTGACCATTTGTTTTTTTTTTCATCATGATTTGACTGATACTGTTGATGAAAAGATTGTTCGTCAGTCTTGCAATCCTGTGTCGACACAGAATTTTTCCATTAATGGGCCCAATTAATTTTCAGTTCGTGTGAACATTATTTAAATATTTATGTAGTTAGCATGGAAAAGAATTTTTTTTCGATGTTACATTTAATTCCTCCTTAGAATGTTTTATCGGCTCTTTCAGTTCTGATTATACTAACGCGTGAAGATTACTACTTTATCCTCTTTCTTTATTTTGAGCTACGATTCTTGAATGTCTAATATTACGTTGCTGTTTGAGGATTCGTCATTTAATAATAAAGTGGGGTATTTAGAATCACTAAGAATTATGTAATTTTTATAGAATTATGTAGCTTTTACTCTAACTGATGTAACACATTCAGCCATAACAAGAGTATTCGACTGCAAAATGTTGAAAATGTTACTCTGTAATGTTCACGTGAAATTATTTTTGTATTTCAGTTTTATTTGCATTCTATGTATCCGATCACGTTAAAAAAGATATTCATATGAAGTTAACATACTCTGAGAAATATTATTCTACAAAACATCATATTTTTCAAATACTGCTATAACTCTTGCTTCAGGTATCATTCACAGGTACATATTCTTTCGTCTAAATGAAATTGAATAAACAACTTGTGTCACTGATTCAAATGAAACTGTACTTTAATACTGACTTTGAAATTAACATTTCTCATAAACTACGAGGTGATTGATATTTTTGACATTACTTCTTTTCGAAGAACCACAGTCATCATGATTTATCAATCTGTTTAGGGAAACCGCGGAGGACGGATCTGTTATTGCAGTATTAAACCTTAGTAACAAGGCAGAATACGTTAACTTATCACAGTTCGATAACGTATCGTGTGGACTGAATCTGTATTACGCCACTGATGGCAGTAACTTGGTACCGGGGTAAGTGCATATTTTTTCTTCCGAAGCGTTGTCGCTTGTGATAATCCGGAATTTTGTAAGAATCATACGTATGATTCGAATGACGTCATTAAATTGCAAGCGGTGAACTCAAAAATTAGGGGACCAACAATACTTTCAGAAATCGACAAAACATCACATAAATACATCAATTCACTTAAAAATGCAACCTGTTTGATTAAAATGAAGGATGTAATAAATTCTGAATAATATTTTTACTACCTGAACAAATGTACATTCAAGTGTTACGTATCATTAACAATTAGTGAAAGTTTAGAAAAACCAACTACTTCTTGGGGTATTCGAAAATATGTTGAAATGATTAGTGCAATAGAACTTGGATTATACGACTTGGTCAGAGACTACTATAATATTTTCGGGTAATCGAATCATGATATATTGTAATAACAAAAATTAAATTATTTCCGTGCTAATTCTACTGCCTCAATATTTGTCTTACTATATTTTACATTATTATGTCTGTCTACAACAATCTTAAGTAAAGTGTTACTCTGTGTTTCATACTATCGAAGAAGGTATCTCTGAAAGGAACAAATATATCGACAAATTGACCTAAATGCACGAGTACTCGAGAATTTATTGTAATTACTACGAAACATTCGTTTTCTTCAAGCTTGCCGCACTATGTCGATAATCAAAATTGATAAAACAATTAATATAATTGATAAAAAAGAGTATTCTGCACACAAAATGTTCATATTAATGTTTCGGCACCAATATTTCCAGAATGTTATGTATAAAAAAATGTCTTAGATAAAAATTGTTGTATTTTGAGGATGAAGGGTTGCATTGGATTGATTATTGGCAACAAAACGTTCTTCCAAAATAGCATAAGTTGATTTTAAAATATTTTCTAAGTAACTACCTGTTTTGAAGATGATTGTCTGAAATGATTACAAAATAACATTCCGTGTACAATTTGTAATACGCTAATCCCATTCAAAATATGAAGTGCATATGAAATAATGTGACATGGATATAGATTAATATTATCAAACTTTCAAATTCTGTCGAGATAAATTTAATTCTTGTTTACCTCGTTCAAATATTTTGATACATATTTTGTACGACTATAATAATCCAGCTCGTAGTAAAGAACTGTCTTTGTTCTTTCTTATCATCGTTAAGTTTAATCCGTGATCTTACGTCACCTGTACCCATTATCTATGTCTTTGCGAGTATGTGCTGTGTGTTCTCTAATTCTAGACGCCTATCTTCTATACGTTAGATTGTACATGCATTCGTAAGAAAATTTGTTTTTGCGTTAGATCTGACGTTTCATATATTAGATCAGTGACAAAGTCAGAGTTGCTTTAAAAATTAAACGCATTTACTTCTTCCCTTAATAATTACCTGTATTTATTATACATTCATGTGACGATTATTTTATTCATAATTCTGATCTACTTGAGCTTTTCACATTTTTTTTATTAGCAATATCTTAAATTTGTATAGGAATACTGTGATTAAAATAATGAATGATATGTGATGTTTCTTAACACATTAATTGCCAGCATATTCACGTATGGGTGGCGAGTTTGGATGTGGGGGAACAAAATCAATCTTTCGGGAGGAATATTAAATTAGATCAATTTTGCCTACGGCTTATACAATTGAATAAATGGCGTTGCGAAATAATGGCGTGGCCCATATACATAACTTGTGTTCTGCTAGAAAAAGAGAACTTCTGATTCCGAGAGAATTTGTACGGATTCAGTCGGGCTGTCAACGTGTTAGGTTACGGTTACACTGGACGCGTATTCGGACAATTGTACACAGCTAGTGATGGGTCTCGGTTAGGTATGGGTTGCAGGGCTGTTGAGATAGCTACCGGCGTTTTGAGCCACAGCTGCGGCCTTGAGGGGGAAATCGCACTTCCCCTCTCCCGGGAGAACTTGGCATAAACTAAACTAAACTAAACTAGGTATGGGTTAGGTCGACTCAAGCGCTCGTGTCGCACGCACGACCGAATTAAACGCCTCTAGATCAATGGGAGCGGTTATACTGTACGCGTATCGGTCGTCCGATGTCGCACGCGTTCGTCGTATACGAGCCTAAAAAGGCACGGGAAATTGCCGACACGACATCACTTCAACCGTCATATTTTAGTTATTTTCAACATATGGCTCTGATTTAACGCTCATTATAAAGCTGAAGGAATATTGTTTTCAAGTTTATGCACAAAATTTTAAAAACCACTACTAATACTAAATTAATAGAAAAAAAACAAACACTCATCTTTTGCAACAAAAAATTAACTACATACAAAATACCAAGTTGAATAGCAAAAACGGCTATGTACATCAATATTCAAAATAACTATTTACCTTATTAACCATTTTATTATTTACTTAACATTATTCCTTACATCGATGGTTATATTAATACAGTTATTTTTCATATCTCACTAACCCATACCTAACCGAGACCCATCACTAGCTGCATACGGACGACGGACTAGTCGTCCGAATACGCGTCCAGTGTAACCGTAACCTTAAGCAGAGTCAAGACGTGCGTAACAGAACAATGCCGCGAATATTATCTAGAAAAAATCGTTCGTTTGGACAGAAGCACTTGTATAACCCTGCTTTAGTTATTAAACGACATAACCTGTTTTTCTTTGTTTATGTTTAAATGCAGGCCTGTGCCATGTCACACCCAGAATGTGTACGTACCTGCGTCTGGAATAGCAGTTTTTATCCGGCATTAGGATAAGAAGTGGAAATGAAGTATCGTAGGACTACAATCATCTTTACAAGCATTATTTTATCAAATCTACCGAACTATGTAACGAGTTATTCAAATATGTTTGCTGTTGGCAGTTCAACACTTCAACATTGTTACTGTAACTAAAATTATTATATAATTATTATTAACTGATATATGAATATATGATCTTTATGTTGACACTGTTCCATGTTCTCGAATTTTTATGTAACTGAAGTCATTATGTTTTACTCATGGATTCCTAGAACGCTGTGCTATTCGTTATGATATTCTGTTCGTAATAAAGTGGTCATCCATGAAAACGAAATGTCCAATGAAAATCTATCTTAAACATTCGTATCTGAGCTCGTTCCTTTCACAACTTCTCCTTACAACATCGTAAATTTTGTCAATGTGAAAAAATGCATGGACATGATACGTAAAAGAAGAACATAAAGAAATATACGACATTGATAGATATTAATTACGTACAACTATGAAAAACAAATATGACATTTATGAACATATTTTCTGTCAATTTTCATCGTTAAGTCTACATATTAAGTGTACCAACAAGTATTCCACTATTTTTTGTAAAATTGTTTAATCAAATCAAAATAATTCAAATACCTATCTTATTTCAAAAATATTTGCTATTTTTTTCCATCATCCTCCGTCATATTAAGTAAACAGCAGATTGGAAAGATATTCAAGATTTTAAACTGTTTCGCTGCTATATTGGAACTACCTACATATTGTGAATTACTTATTGGTAGGTACACCAAACATTAAAAACTAAAAAGAAGGTTTTAAAATTAGAATATTTGGGAACAGCGTGAATAGGTATATATTTCTACTAACGTCAATGCTCCTATTTCTAATCATGTAAGAGTTCTGCTATCACAGAAATTGATATTTATTATTTATTTATGCAACAATCGACGAAAAAACTTATCAGATATAAAATCTAAACCTCCGTTTATAATTAAATTTAAATAAAAGTATCTTTAAAAGCATTTCAACTTAATAATAGTTAATTTATTATGAAGTACAAAATGTCCCTATTTCTGCTCAGTGAAAATGAAAATGCTCGCATTTCTGCTCATGCGCGTGTCCCTGTTTTTGCGCAGCGAAAATGGAAGTGCCAAAACCAAACTTTGGCGAACAATATTAAAGATTCCGTACGTTTTTTCTAGTAAAAACGCAGCGTTCTCGCGTCACTCACCATCGCAACGGAACCGCTCAAGCTACGTTTCTTTATGATGGCACACTTATTAAAATTATTTCTATTGATATGCTGCCATCTATTTAAGAGTATAACTAATTTATTATTTAACTGTTTACATTAAATAAAATGTATACGTACTGAGCAGAAATCGAGACGTGAGTAGAAATAGGGACATTAATCTTACTCTTTAAAACTATGAAAGGTTCAATAATAAAAAAGATGGCCAAATTTTCAACCTTATTGCCAACGTAAAATGTTTGTAAATCATAAATCTTCTGGGAATTCCAAAAACCATAATTATATGTATAAGTTGTAAAAAATACATGAAAACTCTAAAACGTAATAGTCTGTATAACTTACAAACCTAATTAACATGTTTCATCATTTAGGGAAACTTTTTTATAAACATTTTTAATTTCAGTAATCTCAATAATAACCGACATATAATATGTACGATAACAAATGTTAAATGCTATTACGGTCTTTTGGTTCTGCTTTACGTCAACATACTTGAAACTTACTTATCGATTCCCGGGATGTTTACTCTGCAGGTGGATCATCATCCGAACAAGGAAGCAGTGAAACACGTCAATTAGGTAAGATTACTACGTTTGGAAGTTTACATGTATTTTTTACAACTTTTTCATCAGATTATAAGTTATACTACCGCTCATAAGTGCTCCGAAAGTCACCCTTTTGCAAGTCAAATTCAATCTTTTGCAATTTCCGAAATAAAATGTAATGAGATAACGTTTAAACAAATGCACTTAAAAGTAAAATGTCGAACCACACTTTATCAAAATTATCCGCTCGCACTCAACAATCTAATTGCTTTTGTAATAATTTGAGTAGGTGATTTATTTTCATTCGTGAAAGAAACGCTAAAATATGAGTTTATAGGTTCCCAGTTATTAGTACACAAATATATATTGTTCATTTTCCTTAATAAAGAAAACGAGTTCGATAACTCGTTCCACGCCCGCTCTGTGTAACGCCCCACGAAAACAGTGCCTCATCAATTCATTTACCGACCCTCAACCGACATTCCGAAGTATCCGGAATCTGATCTAAGCGTTTCCTACAGGAATAAAAATAAATTACCTACTCAAATTATCACAAGGACAACTAGATTGTTGATTGATTGGGCGCATCATTTCGACAAGCTACTTTTTATTGCGGGAATTAGAAAAGATTGAATTTATTTGTAAAAATGTTAAATTTGATTTGCAAAGGGATGCATTTGATTAGCAAACAACTGAATTTGGAGTGCAATAACTATATCGATATTAGAATTCTACTATTTTTCAATAAGTAAAACTATCATTTCTGCTGTTTTTTACAGAATTATATAGCTTTCTTTGGCTAATTTCACAATAATAACAGGCCCTCGTATTGTGAATCGTTCCTTAGAAATCGAGTTCGCAATTTCTGGCACTGTTATACTAAAATTAATTCTAACACCTCTTCTACTTTTCTCGATATTATATAGATCTAACAATTTAATGGATGCACCTTCAACAACACAAAATTACAGAAATCTATAAAGACTTAAAGGTGAATAAGAATACTGAGAGAATATTTCACAGTTTTGCATCACCATATAAATTTCTGGCATACTTCTCGATGATAGTGTACAAAACTATGTTTTCCGGCATTACTAGGAACTATATATTTATAATTTGCAGACACTTCACGTTGGCAGATACTTCACAAGCGTGAAATTCAAATTGAGGTATATGATTGTAATTAGAAAAGGAGGTAGAAGCGAATTTGGCATTATTTAAAAGCAACTGAAATTAGCTCTGTATTCTTTTTAAATGCATATTTCAATTAATTAATATTTGTTTAGGAACGAATGTTTTAACAGTCGAATTTCGCTTTTACTCCTTCTCTGAAATATATTAACTCATGGCAAATATGTTAAACACGTGAAAATTATAAAATGAATACCTGAAAGAAATGCATTAGCAAATCAGAAATTATTTTATAATCTAATAATTATTTTATTGGCTCCTGGTATCTAAGGACATATAGTAATTAACAAAATGTAACAAAAACGATCGTTTTGTAAAGGAGTCCATTCCAGTATTGACCCTCGATAATAAAGACGTGTTTTTCAAATTAAAGTGGTCTTTTTTAAAAGAAGTCAGAAATTTCCTAACGAGCAGAGTTCTTCAGGGCTCCACGGGCGAGGATTCACGCCTGATTTGTCTCTTTTAAAAGAAATTCCTGGAAAAGGCCGCAACAGTAGCAAGCTCCAAAATTGACCATTCTCTTCTATTGGTCCGTTTCCCCCGTGTAGGAACTACCGTGCCACAATGACAAGAAGTCATCGTTCTTTGGGTTTTTTGTAAGTTTTTCCTACCACGACTCTGAAATAATTTGGTAAATTTTGATTGCAGGTAATAACACTACAAACTTTCATATTCTGCCGGTAAGGGGGCAAAAATAAGCACCCAGGAGCGGTCCATCCTAGTCAGAGCAAACGAAAAAAAAAAATGACAAGAAGTCATCGTTCACTTTAATTTCACCACGTAACGTTCGTCTAAATGACAACCGGGCGACGAGTCGCTTGAAATTCGTGATACGATTCCCGGGGCCCGGTATTCCATTACAACCTTTCACTTCTCCCGAAGCGGTCCTAAAAGTGGGGATTGACAGAAGCTGTTTCGGCCACGCGATAGCCACGTCGATCCACTTGCCAATTATTAATCGTCGTAAAATCTCGGACGTCCACAGCGAATTCAGTGTCTATCTGACGACAGTCAAACGCTGTCAGTCTACGAATTTCACTCGTCGACTTTCCAAAATCTTTCGTGTGTTCACGGCCAACGGTGATGAACAGAATACTACAGGCTTTCAAACATTTTTCTTGTGAATCGATGGATTCCCGGTGAAACTTCCTAGATCGTTGAAGTCTCATTGTGGATGCAAACCGGGGGACAAGCAATGGGAATTGGGTGTCTGTAGGTGCGAACGGCTCGAACACGAGGAACACCGACTTCGTGGCGGTCTTAAAGCAGACCGGCTAGGATATTGAAAATACAGTAGAACGCTAATTATCTGAACTAATAGGGGGACAAATCTGTTTGAATATGTGTGTTTTTTTTTAATAATCGGTAAATGAGAACTGAAGTTTAATATTTTTGTTTCAAGTGAAGTTAGAAGAAAATCGTAGAGGAAAGTTTAACAAGTTCTATCATCTGACTGTATTATACTTTTTACAAATACATCGATGCACTTACAAACTGCAGTTGCACTTTTTTTTGTAAATGGTACATTAGGATTTTTTGTGCATAAATTGATTACTCGTATCATTCTGAGTATGAAAGGTACCTAAAGGTAAGGTCATTGAAAACGTAATATTTTACGGATATATTTCAGTTTTGTTTCGAAAACGTAGAGCAAATACGTACCCAACTTTTCACCATTGCATTTAAAATATTTTTGATATGATTATAACAATTTTCGCTACATTGTTTACTTGTTCAGTATTCACATAGAAATGATTACTTTCAATTCTTTCCTTAAAAACAAGTTTCGGAAGAACAGCTTGCGAATACATGTTATTATCAGAACATGAGAGGTATGGTAAACTGTGCGTGTGTGTGTATAAATACAATGTTAGTAAATACGATAATGGCTTAATGATTAAACGCTAACACAGTAATTGTGTAAAAAGTGTAATATCTCGTAAAGTATTGTGTTTTCAATGACCTTAGACACAGAATGACACGAGGACGCAATTTATTTAAACAGAATCATGATGTTTTGTTTAAAAGAGGTGTATAATTTACACACAAAAAATAATGCAGTTGGGTGATAGAGCTGGTTAAACAACTGAATATTTTCCTCAACAATTATTTTCTAACTTCACTTGGAACAGAGCTACATCCTGGTCCAGTTACTA